GTTTTCATATATGACAACGTAGAACCTAGAAAAAAAAAAGATAATTATAGTTTTGAGGTTTTTTTAAGTGTGATAACATTTTAGACTTTGCAAATTAAAAAATAAGGTTAATTTTGAAATTTAAAAAAAAAATCATTAAAGGAAGCAAAGTGCTACCTTAGTTTTCTATGCGCTTATACTTCCAACTAAAAGCACTTTTAAAATATTTGCTAAATGACCTTTTTTTTTAAAACTAAAGTGCTTTTACTCATTTGGAAGCGCTTTTGGGTCTTTCAAAAACACATCCAAATGAGCCTTATCGAGGGTTAGAGCAAGACAACTAACCGTGCATGCATGCTGTTTGTATTTTTTGAGGGTAAGAAATTAAATATATAAGGAAGAAAATTATAGAACCAACCAACTCTATGGAGATGTCAAATTTCATTTTTTTTTATAGTGGATGTGGCAAAATAACATTTTGTAAAGTCTTTTATTCAAACCGAGATGTCAAATTAAAATACTTTTTGATTATTTATATGATCAAGTGAGTTGGAATTTAATAATAAAATAACCAATAAGTGAAGAAAAATAAAGAAATATGTGAGCCCAACATTAAAATAAAACAACAACAAAAATTGACGTTGTCTTCAAATTTAGCAAGAAAGTGGAGAATGTCAATGGCATCTCCTTTGGAACCAGAAAACCACCTTTTTATTGTCAAAACAGTCTATGTAGGATTTTACATCTCATTTAGAGATACTCTACGACCATCTCCAAATAAGATGTCAAATTTTAAACATAAAATTTAAATTTGAAGGCTTATGTGGTACTTTGATATTTTTCTTAAATTTTGTTCTTCACCTATATTATTTATTACATTATTTACTTTTCATAATTGTAGTAAGTATTTTAAAACAAAAAGTACGAATAAATAATAAAAAATATTTATTAATTGCTAAAAATAGATTTAAAGTTGTTGTCAAATTTGACATATCGACAAAATGATCACACATTTGTATATTGTTAGTGAAATAAATTAGTCATTTTTTATGGAGAACAACTTTTTTCTATATTGCCTTCATGTGTACTCCATATTGGCAACTATACAAGTAGTAGAACTAGAACTGAATGAATTGTGTGATGTTCAATCAGTTTTTAGGTGCATGTCTTTATTGTGCGAGGAAAATGATCACACATTTGTAATCACATCTGATTAAGGCATTAGTTTTTTTCCTTCTTTCACATCTGAAAGTCCAAGTTTTGATGAGCCTATTTAATCAAATCCAAGAAAATGCTGAAAATTTTTCAATGAGGTGGCTCGCTGGCTTGCTCGCGCTGGAGTTGGAAGTTTTCAGGAGTTAATATGGCTGACGGAACTTCCGGACTTAATTTTGGATGCTTTATTTGTAGATGCATCATATTAGTTTGTATTTGCCTGGTGATGTGAGGATAGTAAACATTTGTTTATTTATGCTGGATTTTTTTTTTTTTTTTTTTTTTTCAATCAGGTTGAAAGTTCCGGCAAAGTTTTTATTGAGGCCCATGTTAGCATACTATCCACATTTTGTATGTATTCCCCTCTTATCAATGAATATCATACTTTCCTTCAAAAAATAGGATCAATAAGAATTTAATGTGATGCTTAAGACGAAAATATTGTTATAAAAAAAAAAAAATGAAGTGAGCCTTTTTACATTTTAGTACCTTAATATGATTTTTTTTTCTTTTCACAGGGATACATCAATTTAGGAGTGTAGTCAATTGAATTTTTGAGAGATTTTAATCCTTTATATAAAATCAGAGGTACTCAATCAGGATTTTAAGTGATTCTCTAAAAGTCTAGCTGTATTGAATCATGATTTTAAAAGAGTTTGTAACATTCTAGGTATATTTAATTACAAATTGATTTTTAAAGATTTTAAGAAGTTAGAAAATTTGAGGGAATTAGAGATATTTCGTGTAATATCCCACATCGCCCAGGAGTGAGGATCCTGTAAGCCTTATATGTATATTCCCATCTCTATCTAGCATGAGGCATTTTGGGAGCTCACTAGCTTTGGGTTCCATCGGAACTCCGAAGTTAAGCGAGTTCGCGCGAGAGCAATCCCATAATGGGTGACCCACTGGAAAGTTCTTACGTGAGTTCCCAAAAACAAAACCGTGAGGGCATGGTCGGGGCCCAAAGCGGATAATATCGTGCTACGGTGGAGTTGAGGTAGGGATGTGGTGGGGGCCCGGGCTGTGATGTGACAATTTGGTATCAGAGCCAATCCTTGGCCGGAGGTGTGCTGACGAGGAAGTCGGGCCCTTAAGGGGGGTGGATTGTAACATCCCACATCGCCCAGGGGTGAGGATCCTGTAAGCTTTATATGTATATTCTCATCTCTATCTAGCATGAGGCTTTTTAGGAGCTCACTGGCTTCGGGTTCCATCGGAACTCCGAAGTTAAGCGAGTTCGAGCGAGAGCAATCCCATGATGGGTGACCCACTGGGAAGTTCTCGTCTGAGTTCCCAGAAACAAAATCGTGAGGGTGTGATCGGGGCCCACAACGAACAATATCGTGCTACGATGGAGTTGAGCCCAGGATGTGGTGAGGGCCTGGGCCAGGATGTGACATTTTGCAATCTATTTTAAGAATTCTTAAATCTCACCTCCCCCTGAGAGTTTGAGGAGATTCACTCAAAATTTTGATAGAATCTTTAAAAATCAATTAAACTTCATCAAAATTCATGGATTGATAAATTCATTTAAATCCAATAAGAGATTTTATTTTCCTTCTTTCTAATAAAAAAATACGATGAATGATGAAGATTTTATGATAACACTTTCCAAAGGTTTACTAGACGCTTTTTTTCGTCCTTTTATCAAGTAGTTTTTAACTGATTTACCCCCTAATTTGTACCTTGCCATAGGTTTTCTTGACTTTGATTTTGATCAATTGTCCCCAAACTATTATAAACAGATAAGGTATGGTCATTAACCTTTTGCAAAATAGTTTTTTGTTTTCCAAACACAAAAGTAGGTGAAAAATGCGTTCGACATACTGTTTTGATAAAATATACTAAAAAAACAATATTTAGCCTAAGTTCTGTAAATCATCAAATTGATCTCTGTGGTAATGCATAAAACTGGTGATGCGCTAACAAAGGTTGAATTGATCAAGTCGTTATCCTTGATGGACTTGAGCTTTGCCAACAAATACGATAGACACAAGATTTAAGCAGTTCATCCCTAAAAACTAGGCTACATCCACTAAGTTTCTTGTATAAACTAAAAACAACGTTACAAATAGTACTCATCTATAATAGTACAATTCTATCTTAATTCATCTAACTCCTTCTAAGGAGTACTCATCCTCCATATATAGGCCTTCATCTGAATCTTCAGCCTCTAAGTTTAAGTCCATAACTTTCTTTGCATTTAATGTGTTGAATCCATTGACTAGACCTGCTAGCTGACATGTGGCACGAAAAGACACTAAAGCAAGTCCACTTGTGTTCTTCTTTAGGATGACGTAGTCGAGCGCCTTACTCGACCCTGGAGGTGGTGAGAACTTGTACCCGAGCATCCTACTTGTCAACCTTTATGGCCATTCATAGGGCTTTGTTCCTTTGTCTAGCCGCATGTAGCTTGGAGTTGACGTTTGACTAGACCTCCTCTACTATTCCTGGCACATTGTGCCTTAAAGCTATCAATGACCAACTTGGCCTTTGGTGCTCAGAAGACGCTTTATGGGGAAACGCTCGGCGTAGTTGCTTACAAGACACTTGAATACCATGCGCCATCTGAAGTGCTCAGCTTTACCTTTCTATACTCATTAGGCCTTGACTTTCCTTTGGACCTGTGTTCTTTTAGGTCTGTTAGGGTTGGAAAGGACCCTGCGTTAACAAGTCCTCCAGCTCTCCGTTTATACAAATTTGGAGTCGTGTATCACGTTTGAGTTAGAGAATCTTAGAATTTACTTAGTTAAGCACTAAAGCAATATTTTTCAGGTGCAAGCTTGAGCAGCTTAAAAAAAATGCAAGGCGCCTATTGAAGAGTGACACTTAGAATTTCTTTGAATAGAGCCCTGCAACTCACATTTTTTTCGATTAAACCGTGTTGATGAAATTAACTGTTTTGATAGTCTTGGATGAGACTTGAATAGAAATTTGTTAGATAACCATATGATTGATTTACTTATATTGGTGATTTATTTTCACCACATGATCTTTTATATATCAAGTATAGCCGTATGATATTTGCATGTGATATAATATTTCTTGTATAGGCTAGATTTGCTTGTATATGTTAGCTATGCACAGATAAACAGTCCATGTACACTTGAATGTTTTACTCTTCTAGTACATGCTAGTAATATGCGCGGATTCTAATTGATGATATAATTGTGATTTTCTTTAACTATACATTGTAGTAGATACTAGTATGTAGTTTTTAAACTATATGAGTTTTTCAAAACAGAGGTTATTATGTTTGAAATGATTTTAACTAGATAAATGAATATGATCCACTCATAGTTTGTTTTTCGCTTTTTCAGAACCTAATGAGCATAATACGACGTTTAAGAACGAGTTGGTGTGGCAGTAGTGCAATCTTCCTACTGAGTGGGGTGATTCTCCTTCTGCTATGTTATTTATCTAGTGTTACAATAATGCATGATCAAACTTTCGATTATGCCTGTACAACACATACTTTTGTAATAAATGTTGTATGCACTATAGTTATGCTCTAATTAAACTGATGTGAGTTGCGTTGAGCACTAATGTGCCCCCAAGTGGGGAAGTTGTGTGGTGACTTGTTGGATAGTTTTAGCAATTAATAATGAGAGGTTTAATTCAAATTGGTTCACATTAATATCCTTATGGCTTCGTCGTCGGATTGGTGGTATTTCGTCACCATCATGCTCGAATAATGAGATGTTTAGTGGGGAGGTTGCTTGCCATTAATATCCTTATGGCTCCGTCACCATCATTCCCACTTCTCAACCACCATTTTCACAACCATCTCTCCTAACCATTGTTAAAACAACCATCTTCTACCACCATTGTCGTCCTCGCCGCTGCCACCACTACCACCATCACTCCCTCCACCATTGCCCTCTACCCTGTTATTGCCACCACATATATCTCCCCACTATTACCACTACTCAAACAACAATTTCTACCAACATCACTCTATTCTCAGCCACAACATCCCTACCGTTTTCAATGTTTTATTATCTGAAATCAGTCTCGATCTAAATTACCAAACACATTTTCAAATCATAAAAAATAAAAAATTGTATTCGTTATTTTTGTTTTACAAAACAGTTTTTCGAAAATTTATTTGTCACTGCCACAAAATTGGACCCTAATTAAGAGATTTCAATGCACTATTGCCAATTTGTAGCCCGACAAATCAATCTGTAGTCAAGGACACACGCAGGACCCCTAGCCACCACTCGTACGTGTACATCATCACCCACCCCTATACAACCCTAGCTATTGCTAGATTAATACTACTACACGAGAAGTGTCATACGCTCAACTATAACTACCTTACCTTGCCTCCCTTTCGATGAACATTTTTTCTCAAAGAGTAGTAGTCCAATTAAGATTCCATATATATGGGAAGAGCACCGTGCTGTGAGAAACTTGGGCTCAAAAGAGGAAAATGGACAGCTGAAGAAGATGAAATCTTGACCAAATACATTCACGCTCATGGAGAAGGTTCTTGGAGATCTTTGCCAAAGAATACGGGTTCGTGTTTATATATATTAAACTCACACACGCGCGCGCACACATATATATAGTCGCTAGCTAACCTTCAAATATGGTAACACGATAAGACCCTTAATTTATATGTGTATACATTTGGTTTGTTCTTTTTTGTTTTTTTTGAAGGATTGCTGAGAAGTGGGAAGAGTTGCAGACTGAGGTGGATAAATTATCTGAGGGCTGACTTAAAGAGAGGGAACTTCACTGCTGAGGAGGAAGAAACCATTGTTAAGCTACACAGGGCTTTGGGTAATAGGTATGTCTATGTTCCTCAGTTTCATAATTTATATAATTAAGTGCTTCCACTATGAATTTCACTATACATAATACCTACAAGCAATGAAGTCATGGATATATATATATACAGATTGCTTAAGGGAAGGGATCCCCATTTTTTTGAAAAAAATGGGGATTAGGTGTGGGGCCCACTCCACATCGAATTTCAACGATCCGAATCGTCTATTTTGTTAGTCTCTCGATTCAATAGATCATCCTTGCAAAAATTCAATTCAATCCGAAACCGTTTGCCTATTTAATTATCAAGATCAAATTTCATTTTTTCTTATATAACAAAGTATTCGTTCATTTCCTTGAACCCAATTAGATGTCTTAAACATTTCCGATTTAGCTAATATTTTGCAAGGATGATCTATGAATCGAGACTAACAAAATAGACGGTTCGGATCCTTGAAATTCGATGTGGAGTGGGCCCCACACCTAATCCCCATTTTTTTCAAAAAATGAGGATCCCTTCCCTTAAGCAATCTGTATATATATTTGTATATATATGTGTGTGTGCGTGTGTGTTTGTATATATGTGTGTGTATAATTCATTGATTCATTCTTAAGTTTGAGAGTTCTAGGGCAATATTTTATAAATAATTGGACCCATTCTCAACTTGGTCATGCTAGCAGCAAGATTAATTGGGGCTCTAGCATTTGTGTTGAATGCACTGTTGCAGGTGGTCCTTGATTGCCGCTCATTTACCAGGAAGAACAGACAATGGGATAAAAAACTACTGGAACTCTCATTTGAGTCGAAAAATCTACAGCTTTATCAAGCTGGGAAACGAATATCTACCCACCATTCTCAATGATGTGAAGAAGATAACTTCATGCAATAAGCATCGTAAAGGCACTCGAGCGAGCAGATCTACCATGAACAACAAGAGCAAGAACAAGAACTTGGCCCCGTTTAACTCAAGAAAATCAGAAGCAAACCCTGAACTTGGAAACCCTAGCCTACCAACTGGCACCATTATTAATCTAGGGCAAGTGGGAAATGAGGACATCAATTTAAGGGGTTTGGAGTCTTGGGACCCAATAAAGAATGGAGATGGTGAGGCAATAGGAATGTTGGGGATGCAATATTCTTTTTTGGACGGTGCAGAAATGATTAATTTGGATCCTTGCGGTGAGCAGAAAAAAAGTGCACAATTGTGGCTTGGGAAAAAAGAAAACAATATTACTGGTAGTTCAACTGCAATATATGGAGATAATGACGGTGAAACGGAGGTTTTGGGGACATCTTGTGAATGTGTAGGAACTATGGACCTGAATAATAATATTTTTGAAATTGAAGGGAGAAGAAGTACAAGTATTTGGAGCTCATCAAATGCAGCTGAGAGTGGTGGCGGTGGCGGTGGTGGAGAGTTGTACTCCTTCGCTTCATCAATGAATTCAGGCTTTGATGATGAATGGCTTGATTGGGGTTGGGCAGGTGGTGGCCTTCAATGTCACAATGGTGAATTGGAATGGCGGGATGAAGGGGAGACAATAGCTTGGCTGTGGGAAAATGGCAGTACTGGTGAAGGACAGTAATGTTGCTACTTCATGTTTCATTCAAGGAAAAGAAATAACATCTGCAGATCTTTCTGCAACTGCCAACTACACAAAGTCCTTTTGCAATACTCCATATTTCCAAAAGTATAGAGTTAGCGTGGAGTAACATGAATCGCAAAGTCTTTTAACAAGAAAATGTGAGATCACTACTCACCAATCATCGTTGTATAATGGATATTACACATAGATGAGAGACTCGTTCGTTGTATTATGCCCATAGTGTATTAGATTCTAGTATACATACCAACACCAGCTTTTGGTCTGGTGGTACTTCATCTTCCAAAAGTTGGAAGAGTGCAAATCCCCCTCTGCCACATATCCATTTTCCATCTTTCTTATTTGCCTTCCTTGTAAAGGTTGAAACTTTACTAAGTCAACAACATTCACTATGCTATGTTACTAGGGGTTAACCTCTGGCCGATCTGACATGACATTGTTCACCATCATATAAATTTTCGTTGGAAGAGAATGACGTAGTCGATAGATTAAATCACACTCATTCAACTAATCTATTAAGAGAAACATATATGGATCAAACTTATAATCACACCTTTCCATCTTAAGTTCAATTTATATTGTTTCGGCACATAACCTAACTCGAAAGTTCAAGTTGTGATGAACAAGAGAAACATAGTGATATATATAAATAAACCAATAAACCTGAATACTAACGAGTATCCAAATACAAGAAGATCCGCAAGAGAAACATATGCAGGAAACTAATATCAACATGTCACATGCATTACAATTGCAAGATATCAGCAACCACTTCATCTACCAAAGAATCAAATATTTGACCCTCAACCTCTACTCCTACTGCAAATACATCGGTTTCGAAGTCCAGCCATCTGCCGTAGGGGCTGCTCATGTCCTTGACCACGAGCTCATCGACCATGCAATCCCACATGCCTCTCCAACCCGAGAGTTCCTTGTACACTTCTTCAGCTAAAGACGCCTTTCTCCTCACCACTGCTACTCCTTTCACCCATGAACTGTATCCCCCGCCCACATAACGGCTACATCTCAAATCCAACCATTCATTTGTACAATCAAATAGTTCCTTTCGCCTTAGCCTGGACTCGCCGCCATCAATTTCAAACTGTCCTCTTCGACACTCCAGCAGATTGAAGAGATGAGGGTTTATAATCTCCCTAGCCCGGCCCAATGAGAAGTCTTTAAACATCAATTCCACATTACATAGTGTCTCCTTTAAATATTCCAATTCCCACACATTTGATCTCAAAGATTCTTTTATGTGAACCGTAGCTGTATGGTTTCTTGCCACAGTTCCTATAGATGTTGAAGAAGCGGAATCCGATAACTCGGTGTCAGCTTCAACGGAATGAAACTTCTTGGAAGAACTTACAACATTAACTTCTTCAGCTTGAATGGATGAACACAACCTGCTTACTGAAGAAACGAAAAATATGTGCTCAGGCAACCTAAATAAGATACATTTCAAAATTCAAAGAGTGGAGAAGATAATAAAAAATAAAAAAAATATATCATATACCTTCTGTACTGTTACTATCAGTGCTAATCGAAGAATCAACACTATCAGTTGAAAAAGAAGGTTCCAGAACAGAGACTGGACTAGGATGCCGCAAACTCTGCATCTGTCCAGCTTCAATAGGACTGCTGCTATATTCGTCTGCCTTATCGACTCCCTGAAAATGTTGAATTTGTGTTGGCTATAGTCAGATCAGCATTGCTAAGTTATACTACTAGTAATTTTGTAACTTTGTGAGAAAAGGATAAACAAATTGGAAAAAGAAAACGGTAAAAAGAAGGGGGGCAATTCCATATAAAGTGACCAGCATATAATTTATCAATAGAATTAGCTTGTGATAGTGACACTGACAGTCGGCCCTACCTGAAACTTCTGTTTCAATCTGAATGCAGGAGGAGTGCCAGCTTCGTATTGGTCACCCAGTTTCTCTGTAATCAGATGTTGATCGCTCCGCTTATTTAACCTTTGCTTGGAGCTAACTGAATTAAAATTGGGTTTCACATCCAAATTTGAAGCAATTGAAGCTGAGTGTACTTTTGCGGATTCATGACTAGAAGATTCACTCCCATAAGATAATTCCCTTAATTTTTGTTCCAAAAGTGCACTCAAAGCATCACCGGCTACCACATTGTAACCCACTGAAGATGGCCTCATACTGTCTGTGTCAAGCAACAACCGTTTACCTCGGTGATCTGTGCAAAGACTGTTGCTCTTCTGCGCAACCAGAGCTGAGATGTCAGTCCCAGTCAGTGATCGTGTAAGTGGGGCTGTGAATGTAAAAGAAACAACATCCATGCCTTTCTTTCTGCTATCTTCAGCCCAACTATAGTGCCAGTCAATAACTGGATTCAACTGGACTGACTTCTGATTTTTGTCACTCAACATATCATCAACAGCATGATCTTTATTAAATTGAAAGTTTCCATCTATTGAGCGTTTCTTCCTAGGATAATTCCTTTCGTTTGAGTAGGACACTTCTTTTTCACTATCCATTGCCTCTGAGCCCAACTTCCTGGATCCAATTTTGGAATTTCCACTACTGCGAACTGAGCTTTTGTGACGACCAGAAGAAGAATCCCCAGACAGCACTTTTCTACCCTGCGAGTTGGAAACCAAAGGCTTTGAAGGTAATTTCTCTTTATCAACTATGCCATTTTGTTTCTGATTATTCTGCTTAAGAGCACCTGAAGCATTATGTGTAGACGGTTTCTTATGCAAATTCTTTTGAACATTTGGTTGGCTCCGGAAAGGCTGGTTTGAGATGACCTCATTCTGTTCTCTCTGACCTATCGAGCTTCTATTTTTACTTAAATTCTGACCTCTTTTCTGAACATTGACCTTTGCTTGGATTGCAAGAGAAATGGACTTCCCCTTACTTTCTTCTGTCTCTGAAGAAGACATGAATGATAAGTCAAGACATCCATTCCAGCTCTTATTCAAAGACTGTCCCTTAAGAGACTTAGCAGCATTTGACTCAACAGGCTTTTGGGACACTTCAAAAGGCCTCGTTTTCTTGTAAGCAGCTTCAACTTTATCTTTTAAATCTCGATCTTTCAAGGTTTCTGAAGAAAACCCAACCAGTGGAACTTTTCGGGATGCCTCCATCTTTTCTTTGAGAGCCTGAACCTTCAAGGGCTCTGAAGAGGCCCCTACTAAAGGCATTTTGGCCTTGGCGGTAGATGGAGGTCCAGGCTCAATAATTTTTGCAGCAGCTTCCATTATGTGAGCAGCATTCCTAGTGGAAATAAAAGCCGGGGTTCTTAATGGGAGACAAAAGTTTATGGTGTGTGATCGGTATAGACTTAGATGATCTAGGCGGCAATGTTTCAGTCTGAAACCTCTCAATTGGCCTGTTTTGCATCTTCTGGGGATTTGACTTCAAAGAATTCCTGGTAGGGTGCTCCTTACTTTTTATGAGACTTCCAGAATACTGTAACTGATTGTCATGAGAGCACTCAATGTTTCTCCTGTGGTGATGAGCATCTTGGAGAGATTGACTGTCAAAATATGGGGTAGAGTATGGCTCAGAAAAACTGGATGTGGGTAAGGTGTCTAATCCCATAAGCCTGGCTACTACACTAGGGGCTTTCGCTCCAAATCCTTCTTCATCTGTAACTGATGAAGCACAACTATAATCGCTGCTACGTCTGACACTTGAAACTACCCTAGTTTCATCCTCATCGACCTAGAAATGTAACAAGGATTAAAAATAGTATTAGATTCAAATCCAATATCAAATTGGTCTAAAGAAATAAGCAGTGCAAAAACACTGACCACCAGATGCTGTTGCGTCACTGGCGAGTTCCCCTGGCTTTTCTTTCCTCCTTTTGAGCGTTCTAAATAAAAAAGAGGAAGAAATCAAAATTCAAAACAACCACCCATGAAATAGGAGAATGATACAAGACCATAAGTGACAAACATTGATACATATGCTGATACAATCAAACTGTACCTGGTGAATCTGAATTGCCAGAGAACAATGTTTTTCGAGATTTTGCATTCCAGTCAAACAGCTGAAAGAAACCGCCCACATGACCTGCTCTGCTTTTCGAACCTTCTCTCTCAACTCCCATTTTTCTAATGCAAAAATTAAGAATACCTTAACAGTTAGATAAAAGAATCAAGGAGGAAGACAATTTCTATTCCACTTAATCAGAACAAAATAATTTTTTGAAACGTAACAAGTAGGACATATCCCATAAAAATGGTAATTAGCATAGAAGTCCTAAGCAATATAAAAGACTACATAGTTCACAACAAATCTCCACTTAATTTTGATGTTGTTTGATGATTAAGGAAAACCATCTTTTTCTTAGTAAGTCAAACCATACAAAACAATGCTAATCTTATATCAGATGATCCAAAATGCTCTCTATGTCATTCAGGGAAGATTACTTCTATGGTAATGGATACTACTCAACCAGCGTTCTAGCTTTCGAAATCAAGACAGTGTGAACCTCAACCAGCACATTCAATGCTGAGAAACTAGCCTAGAAATTCAATAAGCTGAATCAAACTCTGACCTTTCTGTTTCAACTTAAGACATGCAACTACAATTTACCCTTGTATCATATGCTCTTCAAGTACCTAGCTTTCCAAACCAAATAGGATCAACAAATTGCATAACCAAATTCAGGAGATTATCAAACACCCAAATCCCAAATGTACCTAATCTAAGCATAAGGTCAAACAAAAGCAAAACTTCAAAAGGCAAATGAGAAGGAAATTTTGCATTTTTTATTCTTTATGCACCTAACTATGAAAAAAGAAATACATTCTGCAAATAAATAACTGGAAGTCAACATTCAGTGCAAAAAGTTCCCAACAACCAAATAATTCAAGTAAATTACATAAATGTAGAATATGCAGCAGAAAACAGATATCAATCTACTTAAATCCACCCTTTTCCCACATTTTCTCAGCAACCAATCACTCCCCCAAAACAAGATACAAAACAAAAAACATCAAAACAAATCCAACCCAATTCACAAATCTAAAAGCCAACAATAAAGATTCTAACTTTACAATGAAATTCAAAGTATTAATGGGCAGGAATCAAAACTTACAAGAACTAATGGGCAGGAATCAGCTGAGCTTCTCCCTCTCTCTCTCTAACAAGTGAAGTGAAGTGAAGGAAGCAATGAAAGATTCAGCAGAGATGTGAGGGAACACAATTAAATGGGAAAATCTTTCATTATTTTTTTTATGAGAGGTCAGAGTCTGCGTCCAGAAACTCACTGTCTCCCCTCCGCAGCATTAGCGAGGCCCCCGTCTAGTTCAAAGCAATAAATGGGGATAGAAAGTGGGACTTTTCTGTTTGTGGACAAAAATAAAATAATTAAATTATCTTTGGAAAATAAAAAATAGAATAAAATGCACACAAGGTTGTAATTTTCTAACGTCTCTTTGGAGAGGGGCTTTCATTTCAAATTCCAAATGGGGGCGTTGGAGTGGCCCCTCAGTGGTGAGGCAGCGCGATAAAGTTACCTAGCAGTGCATGTGGAGGACGAGTGTTTGTGGCGTGGGAAGTGGGGTGACGGGTACGTGGCAGTTGAATGGGGTGAGTATAAGTTAGTTTCCCATAATGATGCGTATCTACACACCTTATTTTACTTCTCACATACTTCTTGATAATTTTTGTCCGTTGATCTTCTTCAATTCATCCGATCCGACGGCCGAAAATTAAAAAGGTATGTAAGAAGTAAAATGGGATGTGTGAATATCACACCCCTATATTATAAGTTTGATATTCAATTATGGTTCTCTCGTGGATCCGATACTCCCAATATCTTGGTTATATCATATATACTAAAACTCAAACCCCCTGGTCACTGTGGATGACCAGTGTGTCGACCGTTTTACCCCTCCATTTTTTCTCTGTTTTGGTGTTCTCTTCAGTTTTTCGCACAGTAAAAACCCTATTTTGCCCATTCTGGACAGGTGTTGGTCATCGGAGTCAGTTGGTCCACCTACTTTTCTTCTTCTTTTCTCCCTTTTGTTTTCAGAATGGTGGACAGGTGTTGGTCATCGGAGTCAGCTGGTCTACCTACTTTTCTTCTTTTCTCCTTTCGTCTTCAGATTTTTCATTGTTTGTTTCTCTCTCCTTCTCCCGCTCTTGCCAATCGCTTTCTTCCGTTTTTTGAATCTTTCCCGGTTTTCGTTTTAAGCCAGCCACTGCTTCTTCTTTGTGTGTCTAGCAGCGTGTGGTGTTAGTTTGTTGGGAAAAAACACTACCGGTGGTTTGCGCTCTTTCGGTTGTTTGGTTGGGTTCGAAGGTTTTTCTATCTGTAAAGGGTGGATTCTCCTGGTTAGTTGTTTGCCTTTCTCATATTAGGTATTTCTTTTTGTTCCTTACCGTTTTTCATTTTTGTGGATGGGTTTCCTGTTTGCAGCTGTGTTTTGGAAATTTGGGGGTTTTGCTACCATCTTGGGTTTTTGGGTATGGTTCTTCGTTCTGGTTGAGTCTGGAATTTTTTTTTTTTTGTTTGGTTTCGTCCCAAACTAATTTTTAGTTGTTTGGTGCTTTTGTGTGCAGGTTTGCAAGCCGTGTTTGTTATTGGTGAGTGTTTTCCTTTCGTCCCTTCAAGGGTTTTGGAGAGATGAGTTTTGGTTTTTCCTGTGGTGTAAGAATTGTGTTATGCTGTATTTTGTTTGTGTTTAATGCTTTCATGTTGTCTTTGATTTAATTTGAAGGAAATTTGTGTTATTTCCAAGTTATGTAAAAACAAAAACTGAGTGATTGAAAAATGTAAAGATCGATTGACAGGCAAGAAAATGAAGTTAAATTTTGATTATCCAAAAATGAACCTGCAGAAAATTAAAAAAATTTGACAGTGAATTTGTTTTAATAGTTAAACACACTTTAATGGGTGATTGCAAAAATTTCAGATTGTGGACTCGATTGTGCCGGTGATGCATGACCATTGTTCTCTTCTTTTTGCCACAACAGAGTGCAAGTTAATCTCATGTAGCCAATAACGGTGTTGGCATTTTGTGCTGAGATTGATTAATGTCTTGATTTCTTACCCATTGTTGAATCATTTTGAAACACAAAATGATTAACTTCTCTCAACGTGTAGTGTGTGTTATTATTAATACATTTTACAGGTTCTTTGAATGTGACATTAAAGTGTATTTCGTTTTAGGTGATGTCGCTGTTTTCGTTTGTTTTATTTTTTTGGTTCTTCAGTTTGTTGTTTTGATCTTAGGTTAATATGCTTATACAAATGCTGAGCAATGGATGTAATAGATTGGATTAGGTAAACATTTTTGTGATGGTAATCATTCAGAAGTGATAAGGCAGTTAATAGATCAATAAGCTGTTTGAATAGGAGATGAAAATGTGTCTGTCGTGTTTGGCTGGAGATTACAAAAGGGATTGGATTTTGAGAAAAATTTAATGTTTCCTAAAATTTGTTTATAATTTTTGGGAAAAAATCAGAGCACCAATTGGAGTATGTGTTGAAACTGTTTTTTTATCCGTTTTTCTAATGAGCGTGGTTTCATCTGCTAGGTTAATTATGTATGATTTTTTATTCCAGTTGATGATGTTTGTCTTTTTGCACTGTTACATATTTTGCACAGATTCTTCGTTCATAATTTGTATCTCTTAATTCAGTTGTGTTTAGCTAAGTATGAACATAAATTATGTGTAGTTGGAAAAGTATTGGTGGAGCTAAAAAAAATTTGATGGATTTTGCAGCATGTTTAATAGCAGTTAAAAATGTGTTTTCTTTTAGCTGACGACATAGTTTTTCATTTCTTTAATTCTTTTGGTTGTTTTCTTTGCTGTTGTAACCTCAGGGTAAAATGTTTATACAGATAGTTAATGACAGACTTACTAGATTGGATTATAAGCGTTTGGATCATGGTTAATCTTGACAGTTAATTTTACAATGTGATAACTGCTACAATCAAATGGATAACTGTAATATCTATCTTAATGGTCTCCAAATTTAACCTTTTATGTATAATGATTTTCCAATGTCTTTACTATTATTGGTATTCCCCTTTTGTAACACAACTTTTCACAACGCGCGGGCACTAAAAACTAGTTGATACTAAAGATAGTAGTGCCAATTTTATTTTGAAATTGTTTTTAATAACAGAGGACGGTTGGAATTTTCTTTGAAAATTAAGAAGAGAAATGCTAAAAGTCAATTGGTCAATTTAATATGTCGTGGTTGTAGTAGTAATATTTTTTTTAGATTTATTTCATTAAAAACAAAATATTCGACCTTCATTTGTTAGAAGAAATTTCCAACTAAAGTTTCATGTACGATAGTTGTATAAAAAGAAAAAAAATTGGTGTTTCAACCGAGAGAACACCAACTCATTCATAGAAATTAAAACATAAAAGTTCTTCTTTGCTTTTTTTAATGTAACAAATATCTTAATGATTCAAGACATGCAAACTATTTAGGTATAGCACAGAAGGACCCATGTTTTCTTTTCTTTTGGTAAATAAGGACCCATCTTTAGTGACGTGTTGAACATACTAAGGTGCTCTTTTATTGGGAGAGTAGATCCTCTCATAATCATTAGTTAGGGTTATCAGAGAAAGTTTTAAATTCAGATATCATGAACGATAATAACTGTTTCTGAGATCGAATATTTTAGTTGTACGTCAATCATGTACTAGTAACACCTTGGAATTCATGATCATGGGTGAAAAATTATTAAACTCAAGTTTCTTGGGTCCTAGTTTATATGTAAAATCCCATATATTCTGTTATGCTGGAATTTATAAGCCTAATGTTAGAGCAATTCCACCGAAGTGGACTTTGCCCAGGACCCAGCACAAAAACAAGGCCAGCACCCTGTCAACCAAGTCCACCCCCTCAATTTGACTGGTACCCAGCCCGAGTTGGGCTCTGGACCAGCCCAAAAGAGACTGAGCAAGAAGCTGGGCTGTTTACCTGGCGCGTGCGCTTCACGGAGGCGTGGCGCGAGTGCCCGACAGGATTTCAGAGCGCGGGCCCGCGTGCAGGCGCACTCAGTCCCCCCCCCGAGTTGGCGACGTGGCTCCCTTTGTGCCGTTGGATTTCCAACGGTAAAAAAAATTTAAATTTTACTTTTAAAATAGACCGTCGAATCAAAGATCAACGGTCCATGTTTTTTTCACAAAAAAGTAAAAAAAAAAAGGCCCAACGGTAAAAAATATGACCGTTGGCCACGTGGCAACTCCCTGTCTCTTGGATTTGAATATTTTTCAAATCCAACGGTCTAGATTAATTAACTATATTAAAATTCATTAAAAATTATTAAAAAAATACAAAAAAATTATTAAAAAATTTAAAAAAAATTACAGAAAATTTTGAAAAATGTTAAATTTTTTCCTATAAATACCTAACCCTCATCTTCCACCTTTACACCACATTTCAATATTTTCTACACTTTCTATACTATCTACATTTCAATATTTTCTACACTTTAAGAGAAAAAAATGTCTTCGTGGAAGCTCATTGAAGATATTATGTTGTGTGAATGTTGGGTTCACACTACTCATGACCCGATTACGGGTAATGAGATGGATAAGCGAGAAATGTGGAGTAAAATTACGAAAACGTTTTGCGATGTACATGGAGAAAACGCCACAACTAGTCAAGGTCTTTAAGGTCGTTGGGAAAAACTCAACGCATCCTTTACTTGTTGGAAAAACGCCATCTCTCATGCTTCCGGTAACCTCCGTAGTGGGACAAGTTTAGCGGATCAGGTGACAATATTTTTATTTATTTATATGCATTCCACCCACATCAATATTTTGATTTATTTAATTTCGTATGTAATTTTTATGTTATTTCTTATGTAATTTTTATATGCATTCCACCCGCATCAAAATTTTAATTTATTTAATTTCTTATGTAATTTTTATTTAATTTCTTATGTCATTTTTTTGTAATTTATATGCATTCCACCCGTATCAATATTTTGAATTTATTTATTTGTGTTACACCCGCATTTTTTAACACTATGTTATCCCACATTTTTATAGACACTACAAGCTCAAGCATTCTACAATTCAAAGAACGGGAACAAATCATTCACTAGATGGGAATGTTGGCAAATTGTCAAAGATTGCCCTAAATACAAAATTGTGGCAACTGGTCCAGAAGTTGTCATGCACGGTATGGGTCTACATAGTTCTCCAGAACCAGACATGGCCGAACAAGAAGTCGACACATTTCAAGACACGGAAGGGACGCCTGAACAAGTGCCCGAGACCCAACCGACTCGTCAGTCCCTTAGGCCCGTAGGTAAAAAGGCGTCAAAGAAAAAAGGTAGTTCTTCCAAGAATGACTACACTAAATATATGGAGGAACTTGCTTGCCAAGGTGAACTGAACATGGCACGGGAAAAGGTTAGAGATGAGGAAAAAGTTGCTACTATGGCAGCAATATTAGCAGCTACTGAGGCACGTGATGCGACGGCTGAGAGACAAAGAGAAGTAGTTAATCGAGAGAGCGAGCTGGTTAGAGAAGCACTTCATCGAGAAAATGAATTGCTTCGAGAAGAAAGGATGGCTCAAGCAAATCGTGACACTATGAGCAAGTCTCTAGTAGGACTGTCTCCGAATTCTAAATATTTTTGGACATCGGAAAAAAGAGATGTCATGCGAAGGAGGCGTGCAAGAGATGCGGAAACAAGTCAAGGGGGTTCTAGCTACTTTTGTGACAACCAAGATCCTAGCACCACATATCCTAACTCGAGAGACTTTGTATAATTTTTATGTATTTTTTATGTTTTTTCTTTCTTTTTTCTTTTGAACTTTATTTAATTTCTTATGTAATTTCTTATGTTTTTTTCTTTTTTTAGGTTCGAACTTTATTTAATTTCTTATGTTTTTTTCTTTTTTTAGGTTTGAACTTTATTTAATTTCTAATGTAATTTTTATGTTATTTCTTATTTATTTTTAAAACTTTATTTATTTTTATTTAATTTATTATGCAATTTTAATGTAATTCTTTATTTATTTTTAAAACTTTATTTCTTTTGTACTTTATTTAAACACATGAAATAAGATTACATAAACTCACCAAATAAATTTAAAAACAAAACACACTACATAGAATTACATAAACTCACCAAATAAATAGAATTACATAAACTCACCAAATAAACTTAAAAACAAAACACACTACATAGAATTACATAAACTTAAAAAAAAATACAATTTATTCTTCAACCACAAGCCTCATTCTAATTATCTTCGCCTTCATGCAATCCCCACTGGTGCTCAATCAAGTCATTCTGGCGGGTTACGTGCCAGTATGGCTCTTGCACATTAGTGTACCGCTGAACGATCAATTCATTGTAACGTCCATCGCGTTCCAACGGCTCGTGTTGCACTGGATCTTCGGTCCCGTCATGAGCACAATAGATACATGTTCTTGAGTTGTTCATCAGATCCGACTCATATTCATCGACGACATCATAATCATACTCATTTTCAACAATCATGTTGTGGAGAATAATACACGTCATCATGATGGATCGAAGAGCCTCAACATCAAACATTCTAGCTGTAGCCTTGATAATCGCCCAACGAGCTTGCAGGATACCAAAACAACGCTCGACATCCTTCCTACACCCTTCTTGACATTTTGCAAAGTGTTTTTCCTTTTCAGTCTGTGGATGTGGCACTGTTTTGACAAATGTTGACCACCTTGGGTAAATGCCATCTGCAAGGTAGTATGATCCCTCGTATTGGGTACCATTAACCCAATATGTGCATCTTGGCAAGTTTCCTTGCAGCAGTTCGTCGAACACTGGGG